ATATACTGTATTCTTAAAGTAAAGTAAGCCAGAGAAAATAAAATATTACTAAGAAAATAATAAAGAAAATACATTTACAGCATTTATTGAAAAAATCTGCATGTAAGTGGACCCTCATAGTTCAAATCCATGTTGGTCAAGGGGCCACCATATTTATTTCCAAAGTTTCCCTTCTATAGTCTTCACTGTCAGACAGCTTCTGTAATATAGCCCTCTCCACTACACTCTCTCTAAACATTCCTCAAACTACTCTTTCCTCTTGTCCCTTCAAGCTTCGGTGTTTTAAAGCTCCCCCCCTCCCCCCACCTTTTTTAAAGCCCCACAGTGGTGCACTAGTCCTTAAGGTTTCCCAATACTATACTCACATTTTTGTAAATAATCCTTTTATTAAATTTTTGTTCAAATGTTCTTTTGAATGTGTTGTGTTTTTCCTACTGGGAGCACGACTGACATACAAGTTAAATAGTTTAAATGCTGAATATGAACTCAACCAAATTTATAATATAACTATCGGGAGGGGTTCGGAAATACAAAGAGTATATGTGAACATATATGTTGTGGGGGCAGAGAGAAAAAAGACAGCTAAATCCTCATTTCTCATGATGGAGTGTATCATGCCTAAAACTGAAAAGACACAAGAATCTTATCTTAAAATATCCGATGGTTACTACCAAAAGACTCATCTAAAAGATTTGAAAAGTAGCTGCCTCCAAAGAAGGAGAAATGGGGGAAAGACAGTGAGCGCCTATTGTTTGTCTTAACCAACCCTAAATAACTGCTTGTATCTTTAAAGCATGTGCGTGCATAACTCTGATAAGAAATAAAATTTAAAAGAGAACTATGGATTCCTCAAAAAATTATTTTTTTTTAATTAAGAATTACCATATAAGCCAGCAATCCCACTTCTGGGTATATAGCCAGAAGAATTGAAAGTAGGATCTCAAAGAGATATTTGCACACCCATGTTCTTACCAGCATTATTCACAATTGCCAGAAGGTGGAAGTAAACCAAATGTCTACCGACAGATGAATGAATACAGAAAATGTGATATATATCTACAATGGAGTGTTACCCAGCCCTAAAAAGGAAGAAAATCTTCTCACATGCTACAAAATGGATGAATCTTGAGGACATTATGCTAAGTAAAGTAAGCCAGTCACAAAAAGACAAGACTATACGATTCCACTTACAAGAGGTATGCAAAATAGTCAAATTGATAGGAATAGAAAGGAGAATGGTAGTTGCAGGGGTGGGGGAGAGGGTGAAATGGGGGGCTGTTAGTTAATGAGTATAGAGTTTCAGTTTTGCAAGATGATAATGCTCTGGAGGTCTGTTGCACAACAATGTGAATATACTTAACACTACTGAACTATATACTTAAAAACGATTAAATGAAAATTTTTTGTTATGTTTTACCACAATTTTAAAAATTGTATAAATTTATTATCCTCACTTTATTCATGAGAAAATTATTGAGATATACAGGGATAAATTAATTTGCCCAAAGTAATATGGTGATGAGTGGGTATTAGAATAAGGCATTCTAGTGTTAAAGTCTGTTCTCTAGCCACTATTAAATTCTGCCTTTCAGAAATCTATGTAGTTATGCAAGGTGCTACCATTGGGAAAATTGTGTGAAGGGCATATAGGATCTCAGCATCACTTCTCACAACTGCACACAAACCCATAATTATCTCAAAAAGTGTAAGTATATATACTACATACAAACTATATAATAAAATCATTTTAATAAGGATTAATTTCTCCAAAATTAATTTACTTTAGGGCATTAGTAATTTCTCAAAAACAAAGTACTCTTTTCTCTTGTTCTGTTATGGATTGCAATGTGAAAGATATTTAGATAATATAAAACAGGAACTGAAGACACCTTTAAAAATTCTATAATTCAGAATGGGTGTCAAAGGTACCTAAAAATCGCATGTCTTTTCTGATTCACAAATTCCTGCCAAAGCTCACCTTTACTGTGAATGTATGAACCCACCTTCCACCATGACCATATGGGATATACAAGTCTGTTTCTGTAGGCCTCAGAATAAAATTATGCTAATTAAGTGAGTTTCATTGAGAAAAATATTAAGAACAACAATAAGTTACTTTTTAATAAATGGTGTTTGGTCAACTAGATAGCCATTTAGAAAAAGACGAAGTTGCATCTGCATTTCACAACATGAACCAGGATAAAATCTACATGGAGCAAAGATTTAAATTAAAAAAAAAAGAAAATATGAAAACATAAATACACTAGAGGGAAAATGGTTAAATTCATGGATCCTCCAAGCATGGAAGTCCTTTCTAACTATGACTCAACAACCTAGAAATCATAAAATGAAAGATTAATAAAATTGACTACATTAAAAAAACAAACTTCTGCATGACAGCAACAACAAAAATACCACAAAGTCCAAAGACAAATGGTAAACTGGGAAAAACATTCTAAATTTATACCTTAGGCAAAAAGCTCATCTCACTAGTATATATGTCGCTTCTAAACATTGAAGGAGAAAAAAAAGCCACTAACTCAATACAAGGAAGGGCAAAGACATGAACAGCTGGCTCACAGGAAAAGAAATAGAAATAACCCTCAAACATGGGAAGAGTCTCAACCTCTCTAGTATTAATTAGAGAAATACAAATTAAATTTACACTTGAACCTATCAGATTGGAAAAATTCAGGCAAACCAGTATTCTCATATGTTTGAAGTGGGAATCCTAAACGGTGCAACCTTTAAGGAGGGAACCAGGCAATGCCATCAAAATTGCATATGTATTTACTCTTAGACCTAGAGATCCCACTTCTAGAAATCTCTCCTAATGACACATCTGCCCACATATAAAATGACTCTGGAATTATTTGTAAAAGAAAAAGATTGAAAATCATCCAAATATCCATCAATAGATACAGGCTAAAACACATAAAAAAATACATATTGTATGGTTCAGTTTATATGAAATACAAACCAGGCAAATTAGTCTATGGTAATATAATAAAAAAGTGATCATCTTTGGAGGACAGTAGCCTGGAATGGTCATGAGTAACCTTAATGGGGAACTGAAAAGGGCTTATATCTATTGAGTTGTTGGAAAAGTCATGACACATTTTTGCAATGAAAAACATAAAAAAAAAAAAAGTCATGACTTTTCTGACAACCCAATTGATCAGGGCTGTGGTTACACAAATGTACATACATGTCAAATATTCATTGAGATAAATACTTCAGACTGATGCACTTTACTGTATATAATCTTAGAAGTTACACTTCAATTTAAAAAGTCTAAAAATAGGCAACTGATCATTGAAATGCAAATCAAAACCACACTACTAGGATGGCTATGAGAAAAGAGACAGATGTGAGGAAATTGGAACCCTCAATCATTACTGTTGAGAATTTAAAATAGTGCAGCCACATGGGCTGGCTGAGTGGCTCAGTTGGTTAAGAGCTCGCTCAAGAATGCGAACTCTGAACAACAGATTCTCTGGTTTGAATCCTGGTCTGAGCTGAGCTGCTGCTGAGCTGCCAACAGGTGGCAGGGTGGCTCAGCTAAAAAAATAAAAAAATAAAAAATAATGCAGCCACAGTGGGAAATAATAGTCTGACAGTTCTTCCAAAAGTTAAACATAGAGTTAGTATATGATCCAGCAACTTCCTCCTAGGTATATACCCAAGAGAAATGAAAACACACATCCAGTAAGAACTTGACTGCTCCTCGCAGCCTTACTCATAATAGCCCCAAAGTGGAACTAACCCAAATGTTCATTGACTGATGAATAGGTAAATAACATGTGTCTCATCCACACAATGGAATATTATTTGGCAATAAAAAGTATTAAGTACTGAAAAACACTGAAACATGGATAGACCTTGAAAATATCATGCTGAGTGTAAGAGCCAGTCACAAAGAACCACATATTATGTAATTCTATTGATATCAAATGTCCAGAATAGGCATATCTGCAGGGACAGAAAGGAGACTGGTGGTTGCCTTGGGCTGGGGAGGTTACGGGGGAATGTGGAGTCACTGCTGACGGTACAGGGTTGCTTCTGGTTGTGAGAACAATGTCCTAAAATTGACCATGGTGATGGCTGCACAACTCCTATGAATATATATATATATATATATAAAACACAGAGCTGCATACTTTAAATAGGTGGAATTTATGATATATGAATTATAACTCAATAAAGTTTTTATCCCCAAATAGGGGGCTGGTAATACACTATCGTGCAGCTGTGCAGTAGTATAGACTAGTATAAAGCTGTGAAAGGAATGCGGCCATTCTCTGTGTACTGACAAGGACACTTTTCCCAAGATGTTAAAAAGCAAGCTGCAGAGGGTACTGTGTATTATGCTAGTTTAGTGTAAGGAATAACAGTATATATTTGCATTTACTTTTTCTGGCACAAAGGAGCCCTAAGTGAATAAACTAGTTACCATGGGGGTGGGAGCAGGAGATGGGATGGTTAGGAGACAGGAGTGGGTGTGCAACTGCTTATATATTTTCATCTAGTTTTCCCCTTTGAACCATGTCAATATAGCACCTATTTATTCAACTTAAAATAATGCAAAGGATAAGTTAAAAGTTAATTACGTACACGATAAAAAATACAGTAGGGGCAATTAATTATCCTCCAAATGTTGTCCATTAAATATCTAACCAGCTGAATGAGAACCAATACATTTGAAATGAAGGGCCAGGAAACTAAGCTGATTTTTTTAAAGTTGGTATTAGGTTGAAAATATCTTTCTCTTCAGAAGATAATTATAAAACTGTATCCTAACAGAAGGCTAAATGAGACATATATGCATATTTACACACACACACACACACACACACACACACACATACTTCAGGCTTCTCTTCTTTGGAACAAAAGCAAAACAAAGACTGGGTTGACAGTTATCCTACTTCTGTCATTACACTGAGATATCCTCCTTTTTGGATCCACATCTTAGTCTTGTTTAACATTTAAAAACTGTTAAATGGGAAGAAGAGAAGGCAAACTATAAATGGACAAGCTTCAACATAGCATCAGGGAGGTGGAGCGACATTGGTCCCACAAATGAGTGGAGTAAAGCTGAAAGGGGTTTGGTTGAAATGGGATCTCCAAGAACATGTGTGGAATTTGCAGCAAGCCCAGCTAGGAAACTCTCTTTTATCTTCCCGTGGAGAAGAGACAGCAGGAGACTATCTGACAGGCTTCAGTGAAAATAAAAACCACACACACACACACACACACACACACACACACACGCATGCACACGCAACATAAGCATGCATACTATGAACAGGCCGTCTGCAGGGGTGTGGTTTCTCAGAGGTGCTAGAGGCCATGGTGGTTAGGTGCTGTGCTGGGCTTACCGGCACCACTGTGGAATACAGCTGCTGTGCCACCAGCATCAGGTCCCTGAGGAGGGTGATGAAACTACACAGACAGTTGCAAAGGACCTTTCGCGCGGCCTGGTTGAACGCCTGGAGCTCTTCCACAAGCTGGGCATTGAGGGCTTCATATTCCTTTCTGGCCAAGTCCGACTCATCGCCCGCTGCCCGCTGCAGGTAGCTGTTGTAGTCCAGCAGTTTGTCATAGCGTTTCTGGATGAGCTTCTGAGGCCCTGGGAACAGGGACAGCAGGGCTGACAGGGGCATCAGGACGAGCTTCTGTAAATGAGCTGCCTGCCAAAGGAGAAAACAATCCTGTCACAGAGCGAGGAATTACCAATACCGTCCCCAGCGCTGTTATCAGCGGGCTTGCTTCCTCACAGCAGGGGCACAAATGGAGACAGAAAAGCATCTAGCCAAGTTAAAGAGGATGTGATCATTTTTTTCGTCTAGCTAAACCTGTTCAAGGACTTCAAACAGCGACTCTAGATTCTAACATTGAACCTGAATGGTGAGAAAGGGGGAAGAATATAAAAGTTGAAGCCTGCACACCAAGATATGCTCCACCTTTCTCTCTGCAGCCACTAATTTTATCATTGGAGTCATCTTGTTCAACACTTTCCCCTTCCCCTTCTTTCTAATCCCAGCCAGCACATTGGTGTGTGTGTGTGTGTGTGTGTGTGTGTGTGTGTGTTTAGGGGGAGGAGGAGTGTTGACCTCCAGCCTTTGACTACCAACGCTGCATAAATGATGCACCCATATCATTTTGTTGGCAATAAAAGGAAGGTAGTCAGTCTTAGAAGAGACTGTGGCTTATTCCAACCACACCTGCCTCAATTTCCTGGTTACCATGGTGGCTAAATTTGGTAGTGGAAGTGTATCCCCCAGACAGATAATACCCCCTAGTTTAGACATTTTACTCCTGTGATAGAAATGACCACAGAACTATTGTTTCCTCTTTAAATATACTGAAGGATTAAGATAATGCTGATTCTGTGTCCTAAATTGTTACGTTTTTAGGTCCGAGTCATTGAATGAAATTCATGTTAATGCCTAATCCCATGCCAGACCCCAAATTTAATTTCTTCTATTTATCTTTTCTACCCTTCTATTCTGAAGTGCACTGGTATCCTATGTTTGCTGAATGCCCAACTTTACCCTTTATCATACATGTTTGGGTTACATGGTCATGTTATAGCAATTTGGAAGCAGGTTTCCTCTAGCACCCTGAAAGATGTCCTAGGGAATAAGATCTGAGCAGCAGTTGCTATTAATTAACTTAAATGGCTTCTGGTAACTTTGAACTTGTGGGAAATCTAGAGAGAGGGGGAACCAATCTCTTATTGGCACCAGCAATAGCCAACACAGTTTAAAGGTGATGTGTAACTTATATAATAATTACTATACACCTGCAGATTGTTTAATGAGTCCTTTGACTAAGCAAAGAATCTGTGCACTGTTCTGGGATAAATTGCTGTGTTTGTGACATGACTGAACTCTATAGGTAATCTAGTTACAATATTACAATATAAATACAATATATATGTCCTGTGACCCATAGACAAAAACCAATTCACCTGTACATGGGAATGGTGGTTGAAACAAATAAGAATCAGATTTCATTTCAATATTTTGTCTTAAATGTGTAGAGAAGCATCTCTCATGGTTAGATAAAAAAAACTACTGTGACTCTAAGTAGATTCTGAACTCTTAACATTTGATTTTTAAAGAGCTGAATATACGTTATCCACAAAAAAAGTTACTTTTGTGCTGAGCTTTCTGATAATTATTTTATCCTAATTTATCATCTGGTAAGGTTTTATGCAAGGTAGAGGACGACACCTTACATCCAATTCTGGACTATGCTTGATGAGGGAGAAGCTACATAACATGTTTTTATATAGTGATCAATAAATATTTATTGACTTAATGAATTGACATTAAACAAAAGAGCAAACCCTTAAGGACTTTTCTAAAATGGGATCCCAGAAAATGTATAAGAACTAGCTTCACTTTTTCCATTTAATATGTCATAAAAATTTCTCTCCCTGCCACCCCTCCCTCTACCAAATCTATCATTTTAGTTGAGATATAATCCTGACTTTCCATTTTCCTGTATCAGGAAAGCAAGATGCTTCTCGGTGTTTTTCTACTGTTGTGAAGGCTATATCCCTTCCTAGAATTCAGAAACGTGTGAGGATATTCATGTCATGACTTAGATGGAGGGACATTGCTGAGATTTAGAGCCTGGTACGGCAGGAATGCTAAACACCCTTCAGCACAAGGGCCACTCATTGAACATCTGTCTGACCCAAAATGCCAATAATGCTAACACAAAAATGGCACTTCCAACGACTCTGAAGATGATGAAAGAGACTATGATATTTTCTGTGTGATACTTGAAATACTATTATGGAATAACAATACCTATGGCATACAAGGTGCTAAATTAAAATGAGGATCACTCAGACTAGTTTGCCATCCAAATATTTTCTTGCCCCCAAAATATGTTTTTATGATTCCCAGGGTATGTTTTATGATTCTGTATATTTTACAGAACTCTTTAATATTTACTGAAGGCAAAAAGATACAATTTTTGACTCTTACATAAAAGCCTTTCCTCAATAGGAGAGCTTTACTTTCCAGCGTAAAGATGTCGCATCTTTAGAGAGTGTCTTTGCTCCTTCTGTAAGGACTCTGGGCTTTTCCAGAAACTCCTTTAAGAAAATCACAGCTTTCTAACTTAATCAATCCTGGCTACATCACAGGCAGACTTGAACTAAAAGCTGCACAGACACTGACTACTGCTAGAAACACAGTCTGGGACCCTCTGAAATTTTGATTAGAGTAAAATCCTCACTAATCCACTTAAAAATATCTAATGATAAAACAATCTCCTGCTTAAATTTACCAATTCTGACATTAGTATTTTCTTCAGTGTATGTTTTATTTCTCACTTCAGAAAAATAAATGAAAAGCAGCTCTGCTTTTAACCCTACTATTGAGTGTGCACTTATCAGTGAATATAAATAACTTACAAAGTCATCATAAGGATGTGGGGCATTGCTTGAGGCCTCCGAGCAGCCCCTCTCCTCCTCTTGGTTGCAGGAAATCTCCTGGAGCTCCATTACACTCTGCAGAGTTAAGGGCATGGCATCCTGAAACCCAAGAACAAAGTTACAAAAAAGGGCAAAGTTCTGAAGTCAGTACAATTAAACGTGTTCCAAATGCACACTTTCTCACCATAACCCGCCATTACCACTGAGAGATACAAAAAAAAGGAAGGAAAAACATTTATAAATACTCTGTACAGTCATGTCACTTGTAACAAGTATTTCCGTACTTTCCTCCCCTTTGTCACTTTCTCATAGTGCTCTGGATGGCACCCTCTTTTATAACGTAGAGACCGTGATAAATTCTCTCATTGGCCATTCTTTATCATTTAATTCTTACAGGTCCCTTATTTTAAAAATCATACCTCTTTTATTTATGTTTTCAATTTCCCTTAGTGAATTTAGTAGTCTCTTTAAAGGAAGATGCTCACATTTTTGTTGAACTGGTGGAAATAGAGGACTTTCCATGAGGCATTTACTCCTTGAAATGGGTATCAAGGACAGTGTCCCCACTGCCCTTCGGCTGTTACAACTAAATTTTGGATTTCTTTTCGTGGCAGGCAGTACTTTAGGAAGAGATTGTTACCAATCTCAGGTTACCAAGACATTGTTACCTGATTCTAAAGTCAGGCTTTGCATCAGTTAATAAATAAGAAAAGAATGTGGCTTGTTAGTTACATAGCACAGAACCTTGTCTCCAAATCATTGTGACTGTCAATCTTCTGTTGCTGTGATAATGTATCTAAGCATGCAAACATCTGCTTCCAAAAACAGATATCCAAGAGAAAAGCTGGAAAATAGGAAGGGGGCCATTTATTAACTGACTTACATATAATTCTACTAATTCTCTACGTCTCCTAGTAATGAACATTGTCAGGATATTGTTAAGGACACTCTGTCTTCTTTGTGAGATCCATTAGATCCAACTCCTGACTGCTCTTTCTTCGGAATATAATTAAACTGTACTCTAAATGGGTTAAGTCTGATTCTCAACAAGGGCAGAAGAACCTCCTAGGGCAGCGGTTCTCAACCTGTGGGTTGCGACCCCTTTGGGGGTCGAACGACCCTTTCACAGGGGTCACCTAAGACCATCGGAAAACAAAAATATATTTACATTACGATTCATAACAGTAGCAAAATTACAGTTATAGAGTAGCAATGAAAATAATTTTATGGTTGGAGGTCACCACAACATGAGGAACTGTATTAAGGGGCCGTGGCATTAGGAAGGTTGAGAACCGCTGTCCTTGGGGATTGGAAATTGGTGTGTTGTTTTTGGCTTCTACTATGGTTGTGTGGGAGCACTTGCATATTTTAGTTCATATTATTTTTGTTAGAATTTATTCTCCGTTATATTGATTTTCTTTTATGTATGCCTACCTACCTAAGGTTGAATTATCTATTAATTTGATTCCAGGTTATAAAGGGGCATTAGAAAACACTGGTTATAACATACATGGAGTGCTCAGATTGTCTTAGAATTGTATGATCACTATGCCCTTTTGGGGAGACAGCTGCTAGGTAGCAGACAGTTAAATGTGAGACCCACATGTGGGTTTTTTTTAATAGTCTTTATGTTATGCACTTTTTATTTTATAACTTCTCTAATTTCATTTTATGTCCCCCTTTGATTTTTATTTTTTCTTTCAGTTCTACTCTTAGATCTGCAAATATGTGTTTTAGGTACTAGGAAGAGATATGTTAGGATAATCAAACAAATAAAGAAAATGTCTGCCTTGCCTGCAATTTTGCATTAAGGAACTCCTCTCTACTCTGGAAAAAGCATGCTGAATGTCCAGCACCACCTGGCAATCATGTGAGCAAATGCCCCACAACCCGGCAATTGGGATGAGAGGAGGGGGAGGCAGGTAAGCAAACAAAGCACAAAACCTAAATCTTCATATTGGCTTCCTTCACCAGCAATTTGCAGCCTACCAAATTTGATGCAGAAGGCGTCATCATCTAAATGCATATACCGGTCATATTTACTCTTTATAATAACTACTGACATCAGTACCTTCTTATAGAAACATTGATAACAGTTGTGTCTCACCCACCTGTATGTGTTGAAGACAGAATGAAATGTTCTTCACACAATGCCTCACAGTCTTTTCTAAAGATCTAAACAGTTTTTCTTCTCTGTTAAAGGTGTTGTCTTTCACCTAAAATATAGATGGAAGTATTTATTTTTATAAATCAAATGAATCTGGTATATATATATATATATATGTGTGTGTGTGTGTGTGTGTGTGTGTGTGTATATATATATCATGGACCATATCGGCCCAGCATAGTACCAAAAACTCCTTGTTGAGATGCAAACCTTTAACAATATGCTGTCTTTGACACAGTACTTTGTGTACCAGCACACAACTGATGAGCAATTAGTGCAACAAAGCCTCGTGGTGCTGCTTAACGGGCCGTAGAGGTTTCGCATGGCATCACCTATGGCGCAGTAGCAGTAGGATGTAAACCTTATCTCTACTGTTTTAAATGGCATATATTATGTATGTACTCTTAAATTATATTACATTTATGGGCTTATGAAATAATTAGTAAAAGTAAAATTTAAATTTAAAAATAAAAATAAAAATTTGATCCAGTGATTGGAATGTATTGTTTTGCTGAGATGACGCATTCCAATTTATTTCACAGTGGTTATTTAGAAAATATTCTCAGGTTCTTGGCTAATGAAAGGTGATAATTATCAGATCAAATTTGAACGATGATATGTAACTTAGTAAAACTAGTCCTTCTGTTAGGAAACCTCAGCAGAGTTAAGATAGTGGTCACGTGTGTTCAGTTACTTTTTTGTTACCTTACATGTTAAGCATCAGAAAAATATGCTTTTCATTGCTTGTGGCAGTTTCTAGGAACACGCACTTATCATTGCTCTTGATGGTGAGAAGTATTTCTTGGCAGTCAACATTGCTACAAAAAGGTGAGAATCAGCCTCAGGCTGGCAAAATCTGTGAGCATGCAAATGTTTTGTAGAATCTGGTGTATATTGTCGGCGCTGTAGCTGTCCTTGGTTCATACATTTGCTAAGATGGTTGACCTTAGAACTGAATGCACAGAAAATGGCGACATTTTATTTTATGTTTCAAACCCTTAATATTCCTTATCTGGAAAGATTTTGATGAAATGGGCAGCACTGTTCTTTGTAAGCCACACAAAGCTAACACCCTCTGCCTTCGGATCTCTATGCTCTAACCCAGTTTGCTGTATATAACAATAGGCTGTGGGAGATTTTTTTTTTTAAATGCAGTTTTCAGGAACTCATCACCAGCTACTTTGTTTTGTATATCTTGGCTGGGCCCCAGATGATTTCTAAAGTAAGAAGTCCAAGGATCACACTATGAGAAATATTGCCTATTTCTACTTCTCTATAGCCAAGCCTTTCTCGTGTTGCTTTATTTTGCTGGAAAATGCTGCTGTCCCTTTTCTGCCTTAAAATTTTATTTTTTAAGGACTTGCTCAACTGTCAGCTCTTCTACGAATCCTCTGCATAATTCCTTTTCTTTCCATTGTAGAAAATGAATTGCTCCCTCCTATGTGATCTCTCAACACTAGTTAATTATTTAAACTACTCTCTCCACTAATGGATTGCAAGCATTTGAGATTAAGCATTTTTGTCTTAATAATAATAATAGCAAACATTTATTAAACACTAACTATGTTCCAGACACTGTGCTAAAACCTGTTTTATCATTTTAATTCTTATATGACCCTATGGGGTAGGTGCTACGAGCAGAGGTTTCGGGGTGTGTGGCAGAGATTGTTCATGTTTTGCCTGCCATCCATTTACTGATGGAATCCACACCTCTAGTTCAAGTTGGACACGTAGCTTCCCTGCCAGTAACTACCCTTTCCAAGATTCCCTGGCAGCTGGCTCTGCCCCTGGAACTGGGTTTGGGTAAATAAGATGTGAGTGAAAGTGATGTGTTTCATTCTGAATCTTGGCCTTAAAACACTGTCTTGGGACTTGAATGAAGACATGGCAGTGACCCAACTTCAACCAGGCAGATGAAGACAATATGTTTAGGGAACAGCACAGCACAAAATTGGGGAGAACTGGGTTCCTGGAGGATCTTATACAGCAGAGTCCATCTGGACTCACATCTCAGGACTATTATCAGAGACAGAAATAAATGACAAGCTGACTGGAGCTTATGTTTTGGAATCACTTTGCTACAGAAGCTTACCCTTTACCCTGATATAGGACATTAAAGAAATTTGCCCATGTTCATAGGGAGAGCCAGGATTCCAACCCAAGTGGTCTGGATTCAGAATCTCTTTGTATTCCCAGTCTCTACTACAGCGTTTGGCACCTAAGAGCTCAATACATGTGTGATGAATTGAATATAATCTTCCTCTTGGGTAATAGTTTTCTATCCTAACTCCACTGAATATTTCCCTTGAGCTGCTGACAAGTGCAAAATTGACTGATTCGAGATTTATCTCTTCTACAGTCCAGCCTATGCAGCTGATTTTCTGATTAACAGTGAAATGCTTCATTGCTGACAGGACATCCTCTCCAAAGATTAAGGAGAAAATCTAATTAATACCCTCCCAAGTCACTTTAGCCACAATTCACTTGTATCTCACAATTGAGAAAAATATCAGATGCAGATGATAAATATGTTAAAGGATGTAGCAGCTTCTACAGAAGTTTGCCCGAAATTAAGACCCGCCTATTGTTCCTCAATGGAATGGTCTTGAGTCAAGAGCAACTTCCCAAAGAGCAGGGCAGAATTGTTTGCATGATATTTACAGATGTCTATGGAGGCCCCAGCCTCTTCACAGATGAATGCCCAATTCAATTTTATTATTGCTGCCTTTCATTGAGATGTCTTGATTTTCCTTTCCTTGATCTATGACCACACACCATAAATGTCCCAAACTTCCCACATTATAGCTTCATATTAAAAGGAGAGGTCTAGAGTTACTTGCTTTATGCCATGGACCCAGCGATTCCCTAGAATATAAGGAGCTAAGTAGAAGAATGATATGAGCCATGCATCCCAAGAATGCCACATTGAATATGACATGGGAAAGCTGGTGCAGCCCCAGGGGGAGATGAGAACAAGGCTTGCAACAAATCTATTGTACTCACAAGTCCTAGGGAGAGGGGTCAGCACACACCATGCAGGGCCACATGGTTAGGCGGCAAGAAGGAACAAGGAGAAAGTCTAGGCCAGAGTCTTTGTTGGAGTTTTTGTGGGAAACCCTGAAGAAACAGCTGGAACAGGGTAAATAGTTTAGGATTAGTCAATTCGAATTAAGTCCCCTGGGCTTGGAGCAATGGGGGTGAGGGGTGGGGATGGTCTCTAATTGCTTGGTACCTGGCGGGCCCTGGGATCTCGGGCAGAGGAATATTGTTGGCTTGGTGTGTGAGTTAGAGAAGGAGGTGGTTGGGGCTATAGACTCAGAATTGGTTGGATTGCATATGAAAGAAGTGATATCAGCTGAGCCCTTCATTATTTCTAATAACAGGCTTGCCCTGGCCCGGGCATCTCTCCTCAGACAGCAAGATTTTTAAAGATGTCAAAACATCCTAAAACATAGAGAGTAAAAGACCTGAAGAATACACTATGCATAAAAAAGTTTATATCCACATGGGAAGTAAGACGTCTGCACATTAAAAGGTAAATGACAATACAAGGCAATGATATAAAATAATGATGACAATGACAATGATGATGATGCTAATATGTACTGAGTGCTTACCCACTGTGTTAGGTACATTTAATCCTCACAACCGCTCCATGTATTAGGTCCTAGTATAATCCCCATTTTACAGATGATGACATTAAATTTCAGTTATGTGCCCAAAGACAAATATTTATTAAGTGACAGAGGTGAGATTCGAATCCAGATCTGGATTGTTTCAAAGACCTTGCTCTTAATTTCTGCCCTGTGCTGGCTCTTGCAAATATTAGCAGTGCCTCGATCGGGATACACTTGGTAATTTGTTAGGCGTCCGGAAAAGAGGCCACTTCCACCTTAGTGGTCAGAAAGCTGCAGAGATGATGGAAAAAGGGGAGAAAAGTACACAGCACCTGAAGAGTGAGGTGAATAGGATGAGTCTTTGAAAACCAATGCTGAGCCACCATACAGTTGCCTCCAGTTCAAATTAAAAACGTTAGAGATGTTAACACAATAAGGGATGAATTCAGGCAAATGAGAAGGGGAAAAAAAGTACTGTATAGTATCTTAAGAACTATCCTGCCTAGTTTTTAAAAAAAAATTATTTTAAAAAACATATTGGAGTAACATCGGTTAATAACATTATATAAGTTTCAGGTGTACAATTTTATTGGGTTGTTAGACAAGTCATGATGTATTTTTGCAACGAAAAACATAAAAAAAATATGTCATGACTTTTCCGACAACCCAATAGAATGCAACGTCTCTATGTTCCATCGTGTGCTCACCACCCAGAGTCTAGCCTCCTTCTGTCACCATATATTTGACCCCCTTCAGTCTCTTCATCCTACCCCACCCCCCTTTCTTCTCTTCTGGTAAACACCATTCTCTTCTCTGTGTCTATGAGTTTGATTGTTCGTTGCTTCAGTTAAAAGCCCAGTGTATGACCCCCTCCAAGCCATGAAGTTTCTTTCTATCTTGTGACTCTCAAAGGGTGTTTCACTGATCACTTACTTCAAGGTCATGTAGCTTCAAAACACTTGGAGTCTTTGTAAAACTACAGACTTCTAGGTTGCACCCTTGAACCCGGTGGAAACCTGAAATCTGTCTTTTAGCAAGCTCCTCAGGTAATTCTTACACACATTAAAGTTTGAGATCCTTTGCTAATCCATCTGTTACTTATTAGGGGTTGAGATGAAAGTGGTTCAAGTCAGGTGCTAAACAGCTGACACAGAACAATGACCCAGTAATATAATGTACATCTGGTGCAGGGGAGGGGGGAGTGGGGGGTTTGGGGGGTGAGAAAGGGGATCAGGGGTAGGAAAAAAATCTGCACTAAGGTATGCTCCTAAATACTTTTTATTATGGGTGAAATAAAGATAAGATAAACATCAAGGGAACCCTAAAGGAAAGTGAGATTTAAAAAAAAACAGAAATAAGACAGGGATGAAAGGAGGCCATGGCCTTGGGTGAGATTATGTGCCAGTCGATGGTGAATGTCAGGACTCCTGGGACATCCCTTGTTGAGTCCTGTCCTTTTGTCCTTATCTTTGCTTTGTCTGCTTCCTGACTGGAAGCACCACAGCTAAGATAGTGTCAAAGCCACCCTCAGTCCATTTCATTTAAGAGAGAGAGAGAGAGAGAGAGAGAGAGAGAGAGAGAGAGAGAGAGAGAGAGGAATAGCATTGGCAATTACCTTGATTCTCTGTGTTCTAGAAATAGCCGTGATTACAACAAAACAAAACCTCACAAAAACAGCCCCATTCACATTCCCCAGGAAAATGCATGTGGTGCAAGAAGAAAACTTACCTGTGATTCTCCTCTGGTCAGAATCTTAAGATGATTTGTCACTCTTTTTGATTTCTTGCTAATTGAATGAATATTTAGTTTAGACAATTTATCTTTAAGTGATTCATCCTCATCATTCTTCTTGTATTTTAGAACTGAAATGGAAAAATGCAATAACATATCTGGACATGTGCAGCATAGAAAGTGTATGTCTCATCCAAAGTAGTCAAGATCGATGTTTATATTTAAAGTAAAAGTCTTTTTAGCCCTCTGTTGCAGATGTAATATGCTCCAACTCCACTGTCCAATCATAATCCCAGCAGCCCGCCCCACCAACCTTACCCAGCTGTCCAAGGCCTGCACTCCTCAAAGCCCAGGGTTTAATTACCTCCCACATTAAAGAAATCCTGGATACTGGAAAGAAGCTCTTCCTCTTTTAGATAACACATTTACTTTCTGGGATCTCAAGCACGAAGCATCAAGACATAACTAATGAAAAGACACTCAAACCAAGGAGGCCTCATCCTAGAGTGGCTCCCCACTAGCAGAGAGATTTGGGCTAAGTTGAGTCACCTCTTTGAGTTTTACTTTTTTAACTTTAAAATCATATACACCCCTTTTATTGTTCAAAGTGTTAAATATTCCTAACATTGCTTTTTAGTAAGAGTGTGGAGAGATGGGCAATTCTGTATACTGTTGATGAGGATTTAACCAATGCAGTTTTTGGCAAAATCTTATAAAAATTAAAATATTTGTAACCTATGACCAACAAGTCCATGCACAGAAATCTGATTCCCATAACCATGCAAAGGGTTGTTTGCGACAGCATTATTTCTAATAGCAAACTGTTGGAAACAATCAAAAGTTTATCCTAGAGGGATAGTTTAATAAATTATGATACATTCATACATGGAATACTATGGAACTATTAAAAAGAAGTCCATATTAGCTGGAAGAACATTCATGATATATGATTAAGTTTTAAAAAAGCCCCAGCAAACTGTCATACCATACATGTTGTAGGAGGAAAGGAAAAGAGAGAGAGTGAGGAGAGAATGAAGAGAAAATAGAAAAAAAAGACATAAGAAGTCTGAAAAAAACTTAATAAAATCTTAGCTATGCAAACTAGATTCATGGGAGAGGAAAATATTTCCTCTTTAAAACTTTGAAATATTTTAAGCAAACACAAAAGTAAAAAAACAATAAATCTTAATTTTGCCTTTTTTCCAATCTTTTCATTAAAAAAATCATGCAACAAACGAGGCTTCTTTGATCCCCGTTGCTAATCCCTACAGAAAATTATGATCCTAAATAGTGGGCTTATTATATCTATATCTATTTTTTATGCCTTTATTATATATATATATATATATATATATATATATATGCAGTCATATTATTTGAATGCTTTCAATCTTTTTAAAAATTGTACCAAATTGCATATGTTCTTCTGTCATATGATAGACAGTTCTTCTGTCACTTGCTAATTTACTATAAAAATAAAACCTTAGCATTGTTTTGATTTATCCAATTGACACATGTACTTTAACGAATTTTTATAATTTTTTTCTCACGTCATAGTGTGTAATACACAGTGTATTCATTACGCTAGTTATTCATATACCTCTCTGAGCATACGGGCAAGAGTTTCTCAAATATCTAGAAACTGATTTTCTGGGTCTTGGTTGTATGCATTTTTAACTGTAGTAGATATTGTCAAATTGTTCTCCAAAGTGATGATTCCAGTTTGCATTCTCACCGGCAGATTGAGATTTAGCACTTAACATTAGCCATTAAAAATCTTGTTAGTAATCTGATAGGCTGGGAATGGTATGTCACTGAGATTTTAATTCACATTTCCCTGATTATTAGTGAAGCTTAGTATTTAAAAATGTATTGGTCTCTCCGTGAATTGCTTTTTAATTATTAACCTTTTTTTTATATTGAAATGTTTTTATTATTGATTTAATATCAATAATTATATAGTCTAGATAGTAATCCTTTGTGTATGGGCTGTCTTTTCATTTTGTTTATGGTGTCTTTACAACTTTCAATCTTTACTCTATGCCCTTTATTATTTGAATTTATTAATATAAATACACACTATTTTTTGAATAAAAAAACTAGAAAATAAAAACAAATGAAGTGATTGGACCAGTTAGCTCCAAAGTCCTACCATTGCATTAGTGTTGACTTGAGATTTAACGTTAGAAGTACAAAGCCAATTAAAAACTTATGGGAACAAACCAAGCTACCCCAATGCCTTACTACATCCAGGATGACAGGAACTGTGTAATTGTGTCTCCTGTTTTGTAATCTACATTCTACTTTAGACACTGATTTTATATCTTAGCTAACAAATAGTTAATAACAATGATTCATTTGAGAAAGAACTATCTATACCTGCTCACTTCGGTGGAGCAGTTATTGTCAAAGAAAAATCTCCATTCTTTGTGTGTCAGAACTAGATAAGCCCGATGTGTTACCTGGGTCTCCTCACCTGGATCTGTCCCTTACACCTTCACGTCTCCCACCGCTCCAGCTACCTGGCCCTGCCATGTCCCTTTCTTACTACACATGCTGCCCGAGAGAGGAGAGCTATGTGCTATGGGTATCTTCAGCCCACAGTAAGTGACCAGGCATGCAGTGATCAAAAGAGGTTGAGTATCGGGCTGTTTGATACAAAACTGTCATTTTTGTGCCGCATGATCTGAGCCCAGCGGGCAAAACCACAACCCCCTCCCTAGCCTCTGACTCTAGATGTCAAATGATTATGATCATGGTAAGTGCGATAACTACTTTGACATTCTGATTCTCAGAAACAAACAGAACACTCCAATCATGGAACACACACAATTCATCATGTCTCTTCTTACCTAAATCTTTCCGTCTTTTAAATTCATTTATGTTTACGTTAATGTGTTTCACTGCAGCAAAGGCTTCCTCCAGGGCTCTGAAGTCTGGGTGAGAGGGAGGGGTAGAATTACGAAGCTCGCACAGTAATAGAGGATATTTCATCACACGCTGAATTGGTTTGATCATCAAGGAGCCCATGTCTAGTAAGTTTGGTTTGCTTCTACAATAGAGATACATAATATCAGTTTTACAAACATTTGTCTTATTAACTCCTTTTCAGTTTTGTGATTTTTTTTTTTAATGATTAATCCTGAAACTGTTTTTCTACACCCACCTCCCCAACCAATTTGGCTATGTGCCATGTCTAAAGGAAAGCAAGAGCAATGGATGACAGGAAGAAGCAAGGCTGAAAGATCCTACTGCTTAGTAAACAAAAGCCAAAAAGAAACCAAATGAGTATAGCTGTCCACCAGAAAGGACGTGGCAAAGCATGACTTCCATCCATGTTCCACTTACCGTTCTTTGGCTTTTTTTAATAATAGGGTTTACAGTAACAGTGGGAAATAATTTCAGAATGCATTTTCCCATGACAACCAAGAAAAATGCATTTTATTGATGGCATTTTTGTGATTATTAGTGAGGGAAATAAACCCACTGTTTAAAATCTAAACAGATGGCTTGCCGAGTATAGTCAAAAGAAAGCATTGTCTTCTTTCCTCCACCAAATTGAGAAGTTGCATTTATAATGTTTCAGATGCTCTACCACAGCCCCCAAAAGAGGTTTATGACAAATGCCACAGTCCTCTAAATGTTATTAATGCTATCACCATCACTATCATTGCTATATAATAATACAATAATCATTGCTATCACACAATGACTTTTCATGACTTTCCATGTGGAAAACTTCTTAGCCAACAGATTTTCAAATATCAACGTGAAGGTGCTCACTTATGCCTGATTCTTCTTTTAAAAACTGAGATGAGAACACAGCCATCCCAACTGCCTGGCAGTTCACAGGAAGTGGAAAAGCTACAGGCTTGGTCACGACATTGTCCAACCCACTGTCATTCATTTTCCAGCCAGAATGTAGTGGTTTCTAAAACCTTCTTTATGTAAAAAGGCAAATAAAGAGATGCTGTAAATAGAACATAGATGAAAATTGTACTTTGAGTCCCTTCTCATGGCCAGATATATTCATTTGTTTTCCTTTTTATTTAGTAGATAGAGAATACAGACACGGTTTTCAAATCCTGATAGGTGGATTTTTCATCTTCAATTTTAAATATTAATATGGAGAGACAACAGATTAAATAATTGGAATAGTGAAATGAATCTAGAAAATGTTTAACAAAATAGAAAAGTTGTGTCATTAGAAAAGTTGTGTCATTAGAAAAGATCTGAAGTCTCCTTAGAGACCATATAATGAACTCTTCATTTGATAAATGAGAAAATATAGAATTTTGATTATCATGTATGTGTGCACACATGCACACACACACAGACACACACACATACACACACACACCGGTCACTCTCTATCACATCTCCCCTTTTATTTTCATCATAGCACTTATCACTATCTGGAATCATCTTGCTTCTCTATTTATCAGTTTGTACTCAGTTTCTCTGTCACCACTATATCTCTTACATGACATGTAGTATTCTCTCAATAAATATTTGTGGACTAAAGTGACAGATATCTCAGATTTTCTGTAATATGCTTTTATTTTACATTGCATTTTTGTTTTAAATTCACTATGGTCCTAATAGCTGAGCAGTTTTGTTCACACATTAAACAAATGATGATACCATAATAGAGAAAAAGACTGATGCAAACCAAAAGGTAGCATTTTTTTAAAAAAGAAAAATCCAAATTAAAAAAAGTTTGCAAGGGAGTAAAGAGCTGCTTTAATATGATTTATCTTGTACCTTTTACCCATTTGCACCAGATCTATTTAAAAAGGAAGGAAGGAAGGTAAGGAGACAGGGTGGCAAAGAAGGAATGAGGGAAAGAGAGTTGTTATTGGTTTCCAAGAGGACTGGGTGAAACAGATGGAAAAAAAATTTATATCTATTATGAATACTGAAAAAATAACAAGTAAAAACATTTTCTAACTGATGGTATATCAATGGTAGAATCTTTGAACATGAAGGACACATTTTCTTATGTTCTTCAACAATACAACAGTTTAGAGACTTAAGTAGAAATAATTCCCTTAAATAACAAGTCAGGAATATGGAAGGTATTAAGACTAGAAACCATATTATCTATATGAATATGATCAGAATTTCTTCTGAGTTTTTCCTTTGACTACCACCAAATATTGGGTTATTTAATCCTCTAAAAATCACTGAAAATATCATAAAAATATAAATTTAATCAAACAATTCAATCAAAGAAAACTGCTGTAATAAGATAGTTTATTGGTGTGGCCTATATACATATTTAAAATTTTTTTAATTACAAAAAAGTCCCCAGATATATTAAAGAATATCCTTGTATCTTTGAGATGTTCTCCTTTCTTCCTTATCAAGATATTTCAAAAAACCAACCAAGGCCTTTTAGTTGTGTCTAAATCTTATCACTACTTTTTTTCCATCACTCTTTGGCATTAAAGTTCTATTCTCTCCCTTTTACATTTCAAATGAAAATAATAACATTGATAAATGATTAGCTTCTCTGAACAGCATCACAAATACAGACATTAAAAAGGCTGTCTCAACCACGAGAAATCTCCCAGACACTTTTGTCTTCAGACATAGACTTTGGACAGTAGCCCAAGTGATGAGCAATGATGTTCTGATATCAGCATCACACATACAAGCAATATGGTAGAAAAGATAGAGGATGTGTTATAAGATAATGACATCCAGGCATTCAGTGACACAAAACTCATCCATCTAATCCTTCTCTGTGAGGCAGTTGTGTCCTATGTGTGATACAACCCAGCTCAGCCCAGCAGTCAATTATCACATGCCTCCCCCACAGACAGTAACCAAATGCATAACAATTCCCCACAGGTATTAGGCTGAAAACTAAGGTAGGTATTAATTTGTAATTCTGTTTCATCTTCCTATGTCTTATCATGAATACTTTGACAAGTATTTAATATTTAGTAGCTATACTAATATCATTACAAATTATTATTGGGGCTTTACAAAGTCAAGTAAACACAGCTGGCTTTGTTTTAGTAGCATCCAGTTTTGCTATTAAAAGCTTTACATTAAATACAAGAAAGCAATTGCACAATGAAAATAAAAATGACATTTAAATAACGTAAAAAAATTATGGTAGAAAACAGAACAAATCAGATATTCAACTTTGAGGTACATTTATATTTCTTAAGTAGTGGAAGAAAATGAGAGAAAGGAGAAATAATCATGTAAAAAATAATCATATTACTTTGAATTTCCTTTATTTTATGACCACAAGTATCCTAAATTTAATATTTATTTTATGGTAGCCACAAACTGTACTACTATTGATTTCTTTTCAATGTAGTCCTCTTTTTTAGTACCTTAAGTCAATTTTAGAGATAACTGTAGTTTGCTACACAAATAATAAACAAATATCATTTGCTATAAATTAAAAATAGCTCTGAAAATAAAATTAAACAAATTTTAGAAGATGTAAAGGAAATGAATGAATGGTAATTGATATAGCAGACCGGAGAGAACTAGTAATATGGAGAGGCAACATAATACACCTGGGTGTCTCCAAATATGGCTGGCCATGAATTTGGCATTAATGATTAGCAGAAAGAAAATGAATAAAATGGGAGGAAAAACAAAGATAATAATTAACTCCCCAGAGAAATAAGTAATCATTTATTCCAAGGTTTAACTCTGAAAAGAAATTTACTCAGATACAATTAAAACACTGATAATTGATCTAATCCAAATTGCAATGTAACTAAGTAGGGAGAATGAAGAGATGGGAAGAATGTAAGTGTGCCCGTGTTTGTGTGTGTGTGTGTGTGTGTATGTCTGTGTGTAGTGGACATGGGGTAGGGAAGAAAGATGAATTCTTATCTTCTACGAAGGAAGACAATGAATAATACCCCCAAAGGAAAAAATAAACATGTTTTTAGTGTCATGAAGATAAATTGCAAAATAGTTAATTAAGAAATGTGAAAATGCTTATGTTCTCATGACGAGCATTTAGGAGAAGAGCGGACTACTTACTGTTTTTCTTAAGTCCTGAAGAACTATTTGGCTTTTTAAACCATGGTACATATGATTTTCACAAAAAGAGAAAGTTTTTAAAGAAGGAAATTTGCAAGAATATCCAAGAAAATTCTGAAAAGGAGGAGTACTGAGCTGAGATTAATTATACCTGATATTCAAACATAAAGCTGCAAAAAATGAAAGCAGTTTGATATGGGTAGTATATGGACAGATGATTAGGACAAAATAGAAAATCAAGAAATAAATACAAGCATGTACAGAAATTAAGTACATGGTAAATATGACATTCCTACTCAGTGGGTAAAAATGAATTATTCAGTAGAAGGTGTTGTGATAATCAGCTGGCCACGTAGAACAAATAATAAAAATGGACTTTTACACCAAAATAATTTCTAGATAGATCAAAAGTTAAATGTTGAAAATGAAACTGTACAAGAACTTGAAGAAACCATAGGATTACACTTTAAAGACAATCTTGGAATTTCTAAGCTCCAAGTTTCTAAATTCCAACAGCTATAGTAGAAAAACATGATAAATCTATTTAAAAATTTACCTGTAAAATTGTACTCTTAAAAACAAAACCAGAATCAGCCATAAACTATGTTGGAAGTCAAATGATAAGCTGGTAATTATTTATAGCACATAAGACAGAAAGAAGGTTAATACCCTTGCTAATTAAAGAGCCATTATCAATCTATTACAAAAACATGAACATCTCAATAAATGTGAACAATCAATAAAAAAGATAATTTATTAGAGGTGAAATACAAATGGTTAAACACGCATGAAAAATGCCCAAGATTATTCTTAATGAAAATTAAAACAATATGGTACTATTTTTGGCTTATTACATTGCCATATGTAAAGATACAAATATTAATTGTGTCTAGCACTAGGAAATTGTAGTTCAATGGACAACTCATATATGGGTAATGGGAATATAAATTAGTTCAATTTTCTGAAATTTTCTGTCAATAAGTATCAAATGTCTTTTGATCTAGTTATCCCACTTTTAGAAATTTATCCTAAGAAAATAATCAAACTATTGTGCAGAGATCATGTTTAAGAATGAGCACATAGCCTCAACCTTTACAAGACAGATAGGCACAATTCAAGTATCTGTAGGGGTTTGATAAACTAAATTATGGTCTATATATCAGAATACTATACAATCAGAAAGCAGTGGAGATTTATGTTTACTACATAGATACTCAGGATATATTGATGAATGAGGTGGCAAGTTTACGTACAAGAAGTATATAGCAGTCCTATAATATGTGTATATAGAGAGAAAAAATTGCAATGAGGTGAGAAACTTCACATTTTAGCAATGTTACAATAGTTAACTCTGGAATATGACCACCAATCGTCTTTACTCTCCTCATTTTAATTTTCTGTATTTTGCAGTGTTTCTTCAATAATTTTAAAAATACAAAACTTAAGAAAAGATAAAATAAGTTATAACATTTTGAAATTAAAAACGCTGAGCTCCAAAGTTTGGAATCGCTGGTCAGACAGGGAATATAGACACACATAAAAGTGTAAAAATGTGAAGTTCTAAATCTGCATTTTTGGAGATAGTTAAATTTAGAAGAGGTACATGTTTCTTGCTTTAGGACATGAGACTGTATCAGGTGTTTTTTTGTGTGTGTGACTTTTGGTAGGGGATTCTATGATTCTCATCACTTTAATGCTGTCTTTGGTATTTCTATATGATTGTAATTCAAAATAATAATTTTAGATGATATAAATACATTTGCCTTTCTCTGTATTTTTAAAAATGTAGATTGAAAAAAAAACAGAAAATATTCAGTTTCCATTAAGTAAGGAATTTTTTTTGCTTGTTTGAAGCTATTTAGAAACCCACCCCTCCTTGATGCACTCTTGGCTGCACATTCCTGGCCTTGGCTGCTATGGAGCCCAACAATTACACAGCCCTTGACATTGCCTTTTACCCTTTTATGTCGCAGCTTGTGTGCCTCTGACCTGAGTGAGAGAAACAAGAAGGAAAACAGCTCATGGCAGACATGGCTTTGATGTTCCTCCAGCCACATGCAGTGAGTGCTCTTCCTCGTTTTCAGTTTTTGATATAGAGAATAGGCTAGAGGGGGCACACACCACCTGCTAACTCCCACACAGCAGGGTCTCCGCAAAAGCCAGTGCCATTCTTTAAACAAGTATTTCAATACAATGTGTGGTTTGTTGTAAGTATTCTATGTGAAGGAGCCTGTGCGTGCTAACTATATGAAAAGAAAGAATCTCTGACTGTCCTTTGAATATCTCTCTCTCTCTCTCTCTCTCTCTCTCTCTCTCTCTCTCTCTCTCTCTCTCATAAAGACCTAAGCTTCAGAAAAAGAAACCTAAGCAGAATTTGTAGCATATGAAATTCTTCTCTAATCAACCATCTATGTGAATCTCCAGTCCTAGTCACAATGATGCCAGGGGTGCAGGCTTCATAATAAGACAGCAACCCCTGGCCCCACCCTCATCCCCATCCTCATCAGCGCGATCATTGACAAGAAGCAAGGAAGGCCCTGGAGTGTGGAGGACCAAGAGGCCTTCTTTTTCTGTTATGTGCACCTTCAAATTCAAATGATCCCAGATTTGGGAACTCATTGAACAAATCTACTCATATCTGTTCATAGATTTTTTTTTTCTTTTGAAAGAAAAGTCTTATAAAGTGAGAAAACTAGGTGCCTGTTTGGTATGTCAAAAACTAACTTCTCAACTTGGCTGAGATATAAAGCCATAGTCCACGCGTCTCCTGGATGATGCCTGATTCTTCCACTTCACTCTGAATTCTTTCCTCATGGTTGCTCTGAACCAAAACATGAATGACAAGTATTTACAGCTTAAGTTAATATTATTTTTACTTTGTAAATTTTGTATTTCTTGATGTAAAGTTTCAATTTAGAATACACACACACACACACACACACACACACACACACACACACACAGACTAGGAACTCAGGATCTTAGATAGCTGCTGACCATGCTAAGCCAAACATAATGTTTTTTAAAGTCCGGTAAATTTAAGTTTGTATTTAAGTCAATATCATCCTTTCAGTATTAATCAGGCCAGACATGCTTTTCTTCTATAAAAATGGACATCTTTCAAAATATGTGTTATGTGTGTGTTGTTTGTATAAGATAATTTCTATATTGTCTTAGTGACTGACGATTTCATGTTACTATTTCATTTTCATGCTATATATATGGGTATGATTTTTTTCTTCATAAGTCATACAAGAATCTAAATTAGAACAAACCCAATATTTTACTATAATGCATAGGAATCTTTTGTATATTAATCTTTGGGAACTTTAAAAACATTATGATATTAATCTGATATTTTTTTAAGATTAATGTTCTTAAGTAAAAGTGTTTTGGACACATTAAGATCCCTAAACATATGTGTGATTAGAAGTTTCTGAAGCGCTCCTGGCACCAGCAAATTTGTGATTTAAGAACATTACATCTCAGGATTCTTCTAAAAAGTTTAGTAAAATACATGTGATAATAATGTGCTATGTAAGATTATCTCAGATAGATTGGAAATGAGAATACCAATAATGTCTATGGCAAGTGCCTTTGAAATCTTGACTTACTTATTAAAAGCAATAAACACACTTTAAAAACTAAAAATTCTGATTTGTACAGAAATAGTCAACAGTTTTTCCTCATGATTTTTTTTTTTTTTTTTAGCTGAGCCATCCTGCCACCTGTGGGCAGCTCAGCAGCAGTTCAGCTCGGGCCGGGCATCAAACTGCTGTTGATCAGAGCTCGTACTCTTGAGCGAGCTCTTAACCAACTGAGCCACTTGGCCGGCCCTTCCTCATGATTTTTACATTTGATTTCTATTATTAAGACAAAAGTACTTACTCTTGCACGTATATTTTCCTGTAAGAGAGGAGAAAAAAAAGTAAATTCATGGAAATCCACATATTTGAGGTAATATACCAGCATTATAAAACTTTTAAAATTGTATTATATAAAATAAAGAATAAACCATTTTCATGAATGTTTTACAGAGTTGGTCTCATTATTTTATAATCATGTCCCTGAAATCTTATTGTACACTTCATATAAGGTGGAAAACTGATTCAGATTGTGGTTAGTAAATGTCGATCAGGAGAAACTGAGATTACAAGATTACAAGGGAAAGTGTAATTGACTTGCAGAAAACTACTAAACTGCGACTATCCAATGCTCTGTAATATCTCTGTATATAGTGTGAAGCAGATTATAAACGATTCACCTATTCAATGAGAGAATTCCCACAAAAAGTTTCACTAGGCACTGCTAGCTTTTATGGCTTCCATTTTGCTCAAGTAAAACTCAAGTCCTTCCAAAGAAATGCGATCTCCTCTCCTTCCATCTCCTCTCTATCTCATTTCCTGTTGTTCCCCCACTCTCCCCTCTGTGGCACCTGTCCAGATCTCCTCACTCTTTCTAAAGCATTAAGACAGGCTCCTGCCTGGAGGTCTTTGCACTTGGAGCTCTGCCTGATTTTTCTTCCTCCAGATAAGGCTCACCCCTTATCTTCTTCATCTCTTTGCTCAAATGTTCCTCCTAGTGAAGGCTTCCCCGGCCAACCTTTTAAAAATTGTGCCCTAACTCGCACTGTACTCTTTAGCCTAACTCCTTGCTTTTTTTTCTCTCCATAACGCTTTGTCACTTTCTAACATACTATATACATCTTTAGTTTATTGTCTATCTCTCCACATCCTCATCCCAAAAAGGGCAAAGAATTTATGCTTTTTTCTCTGCTGTAGTCCCAGTAACTGAAAAAGTGACTGGAACATGGCAGGAGCACGAAACACATTTGTCAAATTAATTAACAATAAAAAGTGGGAGTCATTCAAGTTAAATTACAGGAACAAGTGAGATGGAAGTTTTTCTCTAAAAGCCTCATGCAGCTATAGAGAAGCAAAGTCATAATCTATGTTAATAACCTGATCATCTTGACCTCTGATTTCCAATCTTTTGGAATATAATAAATGTTTTTAACACAAGAAAATTTTGTGACACCACTATGTAATAGTAGTCTTTTCATAGTCAATGGTTGATAAAAAAATTCAATGATAAATACCTACGCTGAATTTCAGAAATTTTAATGAACTTAATAATTTTAAAAAAATGAATCCCAGTACTCTGTGTGGAAAATAATGGTATACATATGTGTAAAGCAATTATTTCTTCACTCTTCAGACATGTTATATGGATGGATTTCTACACATCTTGAAATAATTAGGTTCTGCTGAATCCAAGACGTCCTAGCTGGGAATCAAGCAGAGAACTATAATTTTTCTTTTTAAATCAGCAGCTGCCACAATTTTCGGCAATTATTAACTGCTGTTTGAAGAACTCTTTTACTTCAGTGAAAGAAATTGCACCGCGCACGACCTCCCTGCCCAGTATTTCCTTCCATTCATTTCCTTTAGGCTCACGTTCCTTCTGTAATTTCTATCCACTTCTAATGAGGAATTTCATTTTCTCAATATGCTCTGTGGATCACAGATCAGAAAATTTGGGGGAGAAGTTGAATAAAAATAGAATGCAGTTTCCTGTTGCAAACAAACAAGTGAACAATGTGATTACTGTGGAACCAAAACACATACTTAGAAGTTCAAAGAAAAAATTGTTTTCTTAACTCCAAGAGAAGACATGGAAAATTTTTCTCTATTTCTTTTATTTCAATCACATAAAACCTAAATATGATAACATAAATTAAACACTGTATTTAATGTAAGCATAACATTTTATGAAAAGGATCCTGAGGGATTTTCCAACAGGTTTTCCCTGTTGGAGTAATTAATGAAAAAGTGACACTACATTCTAACATCTCTTTTCTATTTGTTCATCATTTAAAAAAAATAAAATCTCTTTTTTAGGAGAAAACTTTCCAGAAGTTAACCCCAGCCAAGGACAATTCAGGAAAGAGGAAGTTAAATTGTGTTTATTTAACCCTTTATGGTTTAAAGTAACTTAATATGTCCACCACCACACCTCTTATCCTCGTGGGCTCATTATAATTTGACTCAACAATTAACAAAAGTTTTTATATGGCTATTCCCTAAGGATGATAGTCTGTTCAAACATGATGTCACATAACAAAGAACTGAATTTCCAAAAGTGATTTCAATTTTTATGTGGAACATGCCATTACAATAATGCTATGAAATACGGAATGTGGTGAACAAATTGAGATCTATTCCTTTAGATCCTGTGTTGCATGAACTTTCAGCTTCCTCCATGAATGGAGAAGCTAGAGCAGGAATATGAGGAGTTAAAGTGCCCAGATGACTATAAGTTAGAAATTTTCCTTCTACGAACAGTGGCCTTGGTTAGGAAGAAAAATGTAGATTAATTTATAACAACTAGGCATGAAGTTAGAAATACGTCTTCAAGCTACCAAAAAATTTGGAAAAGCCCCTTCATTCTTTCTCTGTTACAAAATAAACAGATCTCTATGGCCTCTGAAAGGCAATGGGGATTTGGCAGCATTTATAACTAGAAAAACAGAAAAAGAAGGCAGCAGACAGGCTATTCTAATTATAGCTACACTGGCATTTATAGCTATTCTATTTTTTCACTTTTCCTCGTACAGATCAGAAACCTTAAATAACCCCAAAGAGGCTGAGAAACTAGATCTTTAGCAAGTAACTTCCATATATTTAGAGGCTGCATTAATACAGTATTTCACACAATCTTAAGGGTCACGAGTGTAGCTCTGTAAATACTCCTTATTGAACAAATAAAAATGTGCAGATTTCCGGTTTGCATGCTATAGATGCAGATGTGTTATTGTGCCTCCCAATAGTTTTAGTCTTTTCTGTCTTCAAGTCTCCAGACCCTGAAATTACTGCTTAGAAATTACTATAGTAATGAAAAAAAGCCCATGTGTTTCAAAGAAAGCAGCAAGTGAGTGCTGTGGGTGTTTTTCCCTCTAAAGAAGTTCTTAACTGGAGTGTGTACCCACAGCCACCTGAGAGTGCTGGTTAAAGTGCCTGTTCCTGGACTGGACCCCCGCAATTCTATTATTGTTATTATTTTTTGGCCTGGAGCAGAGCTTAGGAATTTGCACTTTTTTTCTTCTTTTTTTTTATTAGTTTCAGGTGTACAAAACAATGTAATAGTTATACATTTCACCCCTCACAAAGTGATAACCCCCTCCCCCAATCTATTGTCCTTCTGACATCGTAAATATCTATTACAATTTCATTGACTCTATTCCCTATACTATACTCCATACCCCAAATTTATATATATATATATGAATTTGCACTTTTAATACCCATTCCTGTTGCGTCTGATGCAGGGGAACTCACACACCAAGAAACACTGCCCTAATGTTTCAAAGGGATTCAAAATCATTTTCTGGATGCAAATAGTATTTTCTCTTTTGAAAGATACTGGGCTTCAAAGAACAGCCAAAGGTTATGAGCTGCAGGCTGTCACAGAACCAGGAAATCTCTCTATCATCTTTTTGGAAATTAGTCTTGAACTTCACCGTGACAGCTTCTGGCGTGCTATTTAAATGAACTCGGCTATGGTTACTTCAACTCTCCAGATGGTTTTGTTTATCTCCCCAACTAGAAGGTGTGTTCCTAGGAGGCAAGAACTATGCTTATACATATATTTAAAAAATATTTTTAACATTATTTGCACTCTTAATACATATTTATTAGGCCCTCAATCAACATATTTTAATTTTGGTTAAAATGCAATCTAAGTTGCTCTAAAATCCACTTTCACTTCTGAAGCATGAAGCCACCTCTCGTGTGGATATTGCTTCAAACCCAGTTAGTCTAATATCCCCTTGCACAGTAGAAAAAGGAGACCACACCTAATGTTCATTAAAAATTGGCAACTGTGCACTTGGGCTCTGCTATTTAGCCACAAGGAAAAGGCAGAGCCCCAGTAATAGCTCTGACTGATTAGTTGGCCAGGGAAATCAAGCCTTTGGGTGTTCCAGCCTCTCGTTGGCCTATAAACCTGTTTGAAAACCTGTTTCTCAGAATTTAGAGCTTAGCTCAATTGAGGTCAGTATTATAGTAATGTCAATAATTTTGCTCTCAGCTTTCAGGCAGACCAGTACAATTCATCATTAACTTTATGTTCATGGAAAGGCAACTTTTGGGAAAACAGCTCTAACTTAAGCTATTTTATTTTGATTTCCTTTCCCTTAAGAAATAGTTCTGCCAATATTACTTCCTCTGGATTTTGTGCTTTCTAAACCTTAACACCTTCCAGTGCCTTTCATTCCCTAAAATCAGAATGGTGTGGAATACACAAGATTTGGGACATCACAAGGGCAATAACTCGAGGCTTTCAGAAAAAGATCAAAGGAGCCATTGGGTCTGAAAGTAATTTTCGGTAATTAAGGTTTCATGACGTTCAAAAATTACCTCTGCCTTTAGCTGTTTTCTAAGGGGTATGATACTGAGCTGTACTGCCTAGTGGAATGTTCTGACAGGGTCGATTGCTTTCTCTTAGGAGCCAAAAGTTTAATGAATAATAAGCTAATGTCCATCCCCTCTGAATAGACAGCTCCACTCTGGTCAGATGTTAGGAGCACATGATAGAGTACAATGAACCTCCATTCCTGGGGTTGGAGTTGAACTGATGATCCGAGGTGTCCGTTGTTCTCTTGCTGTAGGATTTCTCTTTAGCCACGGTCACTGGTTACGCATTGCTTTCATGCTACAATGGCATAGTTGACTCTTTTAAGGAGAGCACAGCTCACAGTGGCCCATGCGGGGATCGAACCAGCAACCTTGGTGTTGTCAGCACCATGCTCTAACCAACTGAGCTAACTGGTCACCACAGGATTGCTCTTTTTTTGTTTCTAGAAACTGAAGAAGGAAAAAGGCCCAAGACAGACATTTATTGGATCAGATCTTGACTCTAGGGTAAGGTAGAAAAAGTGTTCATTCATACCCAGGATAACACCATTATTTAATCCTAGGGCAAAAAATTATCTGCATATTTAGAAAACTTTGCCCCTCATATATTAAATTATTAATACAGATACAACTTCAGACTTTAACGTTTCTCTGAATTGATTTGCTAACACTGAACTTCAAATGGTAGAGAAATACAGAACTGGCGCTCCTTATCACAAATTAACTTTAAGAGTCACCTGATCATATTGAGCTCCTTATGGGCAGGGTCTAAGTCTTATTTCTTTTTGTGTTTTCAGCACCCAGGACTATGTTTGGTGCAGTACAAGCACTAAATAAATGCTTGTGATTTAGTGACATACAAGGTGTGATTAAAAAGTACGGTAAATGTTTTAAAAAAATTATTATGGTAAAAGACACATTGCCATTAATCCCTCTCAAAATACTCCCCCCTCACTTCGAACACACTTATCCCATCATTCTTGCCACTTTTTGAAGCCGTTCTGGAAGTCCTCTTTTGTGATTGTCTTCAGTTGTGCTGTCATGGCTGCCTCAATGTTCTGAATTGAGCCAAAACATTTACCTTTCATGGTGACTGACTTTGGGGAATAGCCAGAAGTTGCTTGGTGACAGATCAGGTGAACAAGGTGGATGAGGACACACTGTAATGTTTTTATTTGACAAAAATTGCTGTACCATAAGCGATGTGTGACACGGAGCCTTTACGTTGTGATCACAAAATAAGGTGAATGCTGCTGCCGAGTGCCATCCAACGGAAAGACAGGGATCTCCAATATGGGAAGCGGTACATCAAACCTTAGGAACAGTGTGTGACAAGGTTCAACTCAATCGGTGCAGTTGGGTGTGAGCTACGGTTGAGAGAAGGTGTGTTTTAAAGTGTGCTGTAAATCATCCTCCATCATGACAATGCTCCGTGTCACACATTGCTTCTGGTACAGCAATTTCTGTCAAATAAAAGCATTGCAGTGTGTCCTCCTCCACCTAATTCACCAGATCTGGCACCTGCGACTTCTGGCTCTTCCCCAAAGTCAAAATGATGCAGAACATTGAGGCAGCCATGACAATGTAACCAAAGATACTCATGAAAGAGGACTTCCAGAACTGCTTCAGAAAGTGGCAAGAATGATGGGATAAGTGTGTTCAAAGCGATGAGGAGTATTTTGAGGGGGAATAATGTCAGTGTGTTTTTTACTGTAATAAATTTTTAAAATTTAAACATTCACCATATTGTTTGATCACACCTCCTAAATATATTTTCTATGGCATGAAAAATGGTTAAAGAACTGTAATAACTCATTGACCAGTAGAGGGCAATAAAGTTAATTTAAAAAAATTATCCTGGCCCAGTTTAAACCCACGTTCAGTCCCAGTTCTTGCCTAAAAAGATTTTCTCCAGTGTAGTTTCATTTAGTCTCCTGATTTCACTTTAATTCAGCTCCCAACATCTTGTACTACACTAGACCCCCCATTAATGCCCCCTACGATAGAGTATATAAGGCGGATGAACTAGAAGACCAGACTGGTTGGTGTGCATTGATTTATACACCACAGCTCTCTCTGTTTGGTTAATTATTGGCCTAATGAAGACCCTTTGACCATAGGTATTCTTTTAAACCCTTAAAAAGACCACAGCAAAAATCACTGAGTAAGATGTGCTGTAAGACACTAATTTGGGATTTAAGCTTCATGCGGTAAAAATTTTTAAAAAACCCAAAAAACTGTATATACAGTAAGAAACCAATTCCATTTAAAAGAATCATCCCAAACACATGTCCATGTTTATGCATATAGATAAGATTAGAAGAAAATGCAAACGGTGGTTATTAATACATGGTTTAGCTAGGAATTTAATGCATGGAATAGCAAGGGCTTTTATCTTATTCATGCTTTCTTATATTTTTTAGATTTTTGTAGTACATAGATATTTCTTTTGGATTAAAAATAAATGTATAATATGCAGTGCCTCCTACCAACAATTTAGGGGTGAGGAGGAAGGCATGACTAATTTTTCTGAAACCAACTTTAACAGGGCCTGACTTGTGTTCACCAACCTCCTCTTTCCCCACAGGGAGTCTGGGGGAAGGTGAGGGCCCTTCAGGGAGTCACGGACATTCCACTGATTTTATTATTCCATGTGCTACAGTGGTCACGGTGCGACGTGTTGCCTCACATAGTCCTTGATCTATGTGGGAGCAGGCAAGGAACTACAGCTTTAAGGAGGGGCTTTTCTTCCAGAGTTCACTTTTTTGATATTGCATTTTTCTATCTCGACAGAGCCCCAAATCTTTTCCCATGTTATTTTTAGTCATCTATGCAGGGGGAAAAAAAAAAGTCAATCAGCGATTCTGGAATGTCAGGTTTTCATAAAGAGAACGCAAAGTAGAGCTTTCAGCAAGCCTCCTAAAACCTAGGATTTATGTGAGACCTTTCATCTACATCCAGTTAAAATGTTCCCTGCTAGGCAGTGGAGAGCGTGTGGAAATCATCATGTGAAAAGGCCTTACTTTAAGGACTGGATGCAGAGGCTCAAATGTTGCTTCAGCTCTTCCTCCTTTTCATAGGACTCCAGTACACTGTGCGCTTCATCGTGGTGATAGCAGTAGATTTTATAAATATCCTCCAGAGGCCCTTTAATCTGCAAGAATACTTCTCCTGATAAATGCAAAACAAAGGCAAAATGATATCAAGTCAGACCAAACTGGCACTTTGCATATTTATTATTCCACAACGTTGACTAGTGTTAAAAAGTTGAATAAATTCCACTTTATCCCCAGGTTATTCAGGAGGGGTGGAAGATATTAAGTGGCCTTTTCCCCCCACTTTTCCTTCTTTTCTCCCTCCTTCCCTCCCTCCTTTTTTCTCTCCCTTTCTTCCTTTCTTTTATAAAACAAAGGATAAAGAGCTTAACAGAGCTAGGCGGCAATGAAAGATGGTTTTCTCAGAGGTAACTGTGTGCTTGGTTGACGTGCAGGAGCCTGGCTAAGGGCAGCACATTAGAATCAGTCCCCATGTGTTTGGATCAGGCTGTGCTACACACTTGGACAGGTTATGACAGACAAGTTATTTTTACCCTCTGAACCAGTTTACTTATCTGTAAAATGGGGACAATAATAGATCTAACTTCATTTGGTCATTATAAATATTAAAGAGCTACTTTGTGTGCAGTTCAGAGTACAGTATGTACATAATAAATACTCAGAATGGAGCAGTTATTGTTAATTTATTAAAGATATGGAAAGTAAAATTTCAGGTGCTAGGTAAATTTTTGTTTTAGTTAAAGTTTATTGGGGTGACAATTGTTAGCAATGTTACATAAATTTCAGGTGTATCATTCTGTCATACATAATTTATATATCACATTGTGTGTTCAACACCCAGAGTCAGTCTCTTTCCATTACCATATATTTGATCCCCTTTACCCTCATCTATCACCCACTCCCCCACTTACCCTCTGGTAACCACTAAACTATTGTCTGTGTCTATGAGTTTTGAATACTAGTCTGCCATAAGAAAAAATGAAATAAAGCCATTTTCAACAACATGGATGGATCTTGAGATTATAATGCTAAGCGAAATAAGGTAAATTATTTTTTAATATTAATATTTATTCCACTAAAATTTCCTGAGATTCTCTGAAAGGCAAGCAATGGAGCTTAGATAAATAAAATATTATATGTGATGATAAAAATAATTGGCCATTGTTTCTGTTAAAAATAATAGATATAATAAATAAATGGAAATAATGTCAATTGGATAATGCTATGAACAAGGCTGATGACTGTCTCTTCATAAAGCAACTTGGGTTAATTGCATCCAGGCATTTAAGGAATCTTTTTTGATATTATGATAAAACTGGGTCTATAACTGATGGTTCAAGTAGATGTTGGACAATAGTTTGATTTAATCACACACTCCACTTAAAAATGTGTATTAAACATCCACTGCCTAACCCATCACTGTGTTAAGATGATTTGGGATACACAAAAGAAATATGTGATAGGGTCTGCTCTCAAAAATATTGTAAATTTGGAGTTGACAATGATTTGGGGATGAATTGATTGGGAGTGATATGGATCTCTTATATTATAGCAACAACAGCAAGTCATTCTTCCTTCAGAAATAGAAATGCCCTTTGTATTTTCAGCATGTTTTGCATATGCTGGCTGCTCAACTCCCTATATAGAGAGGGTGCCAAAAAATGTATACACATTTTAAGAAAGGAAAAAACTGTATTAAAATTGTAATACTCAATATATACTGATAACAAAAGATGAATACAAGTCATGTGCATACATTTTTTGGCCCCTCCTGTATATATGAGGAGATAAGAAGTTACTTATCCATATTAAATAAAGATGGTCATATCTGAGTTTAAAACAAATAAATGATTTTTCCAAAGTCCTAGCAGGAGGTGGCAAAGCCAGAGTTAGAGATCATGTTCTGATTTGTTTCCTTAGGCTTTAGCCTTCCCCATGTCCAAACTTTGCTAGACACTGCACAAAGGGATGCAGTTGCAAAGAATCAGAAATCACTGTCATGTAGGGTTTTTGTGGTGAATTTGGGAATGACCTCCTTTTTTTTAAAAAAAAAAAAAACCTTTGAAGCTCATTTCTCTCATTTGTAAAGAGGGAATAAGTAATAGCAACTCTTGGGATGAATCTGAGAATTAAATGGGACGTGGATGTGAAATGTACCCGACACTGACAAGTTGCTCAATAAATGTCACTTGCCTCTTAATGCTGCTCTACTATCTCTAGAATTAAAACACTCATACTTTTCTAATTATATCCAGCCAATAAAAGACTTATTTCCTTTTCATTATATGGGATTTCCCTGTGATAATTGTTAGAGAGTGTGTGTGCATGTGTGTGTTTGTTGCTGTTGTTTTTATCAGTGCTTTTTTTGGATTTGTGAAGAAACTCAGCAACTGTGAGTATCTTTGGGACTGAAGCGATGAGCCATTCTTGTTTTGTTACTGAGTTGATCCTTCTAGTAGTATAGGTCTTGTAGATTTGCTCTTCAAGACACTGGCAACACAAACCGTAAGAAATAGAGTAGTTATAAGAAGAGAAGATAAATTACGATAGTGACTCAATTTAGGGTTGGACATAAGATGAGGAGAGCCTCTCAGTAACAGAGCCAGATGGCAAATGTGAGTGAGGGCTTTGGCTGGGCAAGAGAATTATGGCCCAGAAGTGCAAGTGAGCGTGAGGCTCAGCGGAAGCTCAGGAGCAAGTCAAAGAGAAAGCACCTGCATTCACACAGCCCAACACAAGTTGAAGTTGTAAATATGGATGTTCACTACAAAGAAAGCAGCTTAGAGACAAAGAAAGAAAGAGGTAAGGACGCCCTCATAAATCCACAGTAGGATCAAGTCAGAAAGCCGAAAAACAAAGGGTAAAGACATTTATTTTACACACAATGAAACCATTAATTGTAAATTCCTTTGTATTTTCTTTAACGGAAGTGGTCTAGTTTGAAAGAATTTATATCTCTCCCCTTAACAGCAGAGTGGAATTTTTTACTCTTTTCCAAGTAAAATTCTGTTGGGGCTCTGATAATAATTATTAAACTTAAAAGGTATTTAAGTACTATAATTGAAAGTCATTTATTCACCCAAAGGCCAAGTACAACACTGGCGGGCAGAATATTTGATTCTCCTCCCAGCCCTACCAATGTATTCTGCTTCACAATAGTGCAGATGAAGCGATGTGTCTTGCGGCAAAAGAAATGATTCTGTTTCCACGGTAACATAACTCTTGGCTGCGTTTCTTTAGCGGTGAAGGACAACTGCTCTATCTAATGTATATGGGTTTGAAGGGATGATTAGGAGTGGAAAAAGGACGGAGCCAAGACCAGTGAAGGTAATTTCACTTCTGGCAGCCTGATACAAAAGCACCAGAACCCTATAAAATAAATATAACTATTGTGTACTTCTTTTTAAAAATTCTACAACCCAAGACTTTCTGCACACACTGCCATGCAAAAGAGAAAAAAAAATTCACCCTTTTAAATGTCCTTAGTTATCTCCTTTAAAAACAATTTCTAAGAATATTGAACACATTTTTATGTCTTGGTATCATTATCCCTGTGTTCCACATTGCTCCCTTCACTAATGTAAACATATTCATGTTCCTCTTGGTGGCCCACCTCTTCTTTACTTCCAGACCCTCACGTCCAACCCCAGATGTGTCATGCTAAACTCTGTATTATCCTGACACCACTCCAAGATGAACTTCCCCTACAGGTAAGTAAACCAAGGTAAACCAATGATGTCCAGGAGTTCTCCTTAACTAGGCTTTGCTTAGGAACATGACACGATAGGGAATAAAGTAGGTACAGTCTTTATTTCAGCCTCATTTGGCAACAATTTAATGAGTGACGATTATGCATCAAGGACTTTGGTACTTACCACAGACATGAAAAACCACCACTTTTCCTCAAGGCACTTATAAAGGAAGAGAGAAGAGCAGACTCCCGTTTGCCACACTGGGTGGAAAGTATGACAATAGTGCTATAAAACACGGAGGGTCGCCTGCTCTGCTCTTGAGGACCTTTGAGCTATATCCATAACAGCTTGTCCTTGAAATAAGAGCTTTGAGTGTGGGTAGAGAGACACACTGAGAGAGCAAGGTTTGGTCAGAAGATACAAGCGATCTTGCAGGGCTGCTGGTGCCCTGGCCATGGGGAAGTTTCAGGGGAGGCTGTATTGCGAGGCAGTGGCCAGATCCTGAAGGACCTTGTGCATTGGCGGGAAGATGGGACTCCAGCCTGAAGGTGGTGGAGAATCACTGATGGATTTGAGGCAGCAGACTAGCATGATCAGAGTGCATTTCAAAGGCTACTCTTGGAGTTAGTTGTATGAAAGATGGAATTTGGGGAAGGAGATAGTGAGACTGGAAAAGAAAACCCAATTGAAAAGCTTCTACAATAACACAAGAAACAAATAATGAGGGCTAAGACAGGAAGTCCTAGCATTTAAAAGAGAGAGCTCTAGAATCACCTGCCTGCTTTCAAATCCTGGTTTTACACTTCTGTGACATTTGGGAAAGTGACTTGATTTCTGTGTTCCGTAATTTCCTCATCTGTAAATTGGAACAGTAATAATAGTAGGGTCATTTGAAGGTTAAATGAGTTAAAATATAATATATGACGTATTTATATCAGCAGCTGGCATGTGCAAATAAATGCTCAATGGATGTTAGCTATAACCACTACAGCAAAAATAGGGAGGACGGAGAAAAGGAAAAGAAAAATGGACATTAAATGTATGTGAGAGATAAAAAGGGTAAATCCAGTTGTATCCCAGGATTCTGGTTTCAGTGAGCACATGGATAGACAATGACAACAAGATAAGGAGGAGGTTTAGTTGGAAAAACAATGAGTTTAATTTTAGATGTACCGAGTTTGAGTCACCCATAGTATATTCAAGTGGAGCCATCCTTAATGACATTGGATATGTGAGCCTGGGATTCAGGAAAATTAAGATCTGGGGAAGAGATGTAGGTAGGTAAATGTTGGACGGTAGAAGCCATGAATTTGATATGGTCACACAAGAAAGTTCACAGGAAGAGAAGAGGATTGAAACCCACATGCTAGGGAACAATAACACTGAGGGGAGCCTAGAAGAGAAAGAGAACAGATAAGCTACA